AGGACTCCTCCTGATTATTACCAATAATAATTTATGTATTTATTTATTTATTTAATAATTATTGATATTAAGTGATTATAACTCAGTGCAGCACCAGATGGATCTGAATGCAGAGTTCTCAGTTTGTCACATCTAGAGTCAAACAGAAGAGCTCCAGAAAGTTTCAGAGTGTGGATGGTTGTTTGTCTCTTTTGTGTCCCTGATAGAGACTCGAGACCTGTCGAGGTGTCCCCTGCCTTCACCCAAAGGCAGCTAGGACGGAGTCCAGCCCCACCCTGACCCTGATTAGGAACAAGGACAGAATGGATGGAGGATTTTTCTTCATAGCAGGAAACAGACATTTAATTATAAAAATAATTTATTTTATGTTAATCTGAATCAGTTTAGTGTATTTAGAAAAACTTTAACTCTCGTAGATATAAAGGATAACAGTTAAAAATGCAACTATCAAAAAAACTTCCTCTCAGCCACTGAGAATAATTTATTTACCACATTTTAAAGACTGATTATAATCTGGGCCCTTAAGTGTTAATTTGCCTGAACGAGACTGGGTCTGACCTGCGGTGTCTGAGTGTGTGTGACAGAGGAGAAGCTCAGCTTAGTGATCGAGTCCAGCATGACGTAGACTAAGCAGCTCATTCTGTCTGGATTTATGGTGTTTTGAGTTCAAACTACTCGCTACTTTTTTAAAAGTTGAGGGACGTTACATTTGCTCGTAGCTGCGCTGATCAGCGCTATTTATAGAACATGACCGGACTTGCAGGAATCTGGTCACACGCGGGTCTGTGTTGGTGATTCTTGCTGTATCATATAAAAGTAATTATTGATAAGGTAACCATGCTGTGGCTTAACCTGTTGCATTTTCTTTTACGGAAAGAAAAAGTAGCTTGCAAAGCTGTCGCATCGGTGCTACGTGATTAAAAAAGGCAGTTTTCTAATCACATCTAATCACACGCACATACACGTCTTTCTATCGTTGTCAGGACCAAATCTTTTTCTGAGACAGGAAAATATAACAAATTATTAACAAAAGTAACGTCCATCACTTTCACCAGAAAATGTGCCGCAAATTCAAACATTCTTGTAGATATTGATTCAGGAAATTAATGTCTGCCCCATTGAAATTTACGCACACAAGTGGCTACTGATGAACTGAAAAATATCTAAAACACCTTATTCATGAATGCATTTTGTTTTAATTGATTTTTTTTTTCAATTTCAAAAGAAAGACTTTAGTTGCAGCTTTTCCAGATCTGATGACTGTGAATGGAACAAGACATTACCCACTGACTTTACTATGTGGCAAAATTCAACATGTGTGAGTCTGACATTCAAGGTGTGTGCGAACAG